ATAAAAAAAAAACGACATTTTTTTTATTGTTTAATTTCTGCTCGAAATGTAAAAGAAAAGAAAAGAAAAGGAAAAAAAAGGAAAGAAAGAAAGCAAAAAGAAAACCATTAACATTTTCTTTTTTTTTAACATAAGTTTTTTTTTATCTTGAAAATAAAATGAAAATGTTTTAAGAATAATTTGAACTAACCCTAAGTAAGGTAAAACTTATCGGTGTTCAAGTATATATATTTATTTATTTGTATTATCTAAAATTGATAAAAAAAAGTAAGTCATTTAAAAAAAAAAAAAACTAGTCAACCGTAAAGTATTTAACATTATTATTATTATTATTATTATTGTTATCATTATGTTACTTAGTTTAGTAATTGAGTATATTTGAAAAAGAAAATGTCTTTTTTTCTTTTTCTTTTTTTTTTTGAAAAATTCTTTGGCGAAAGTCACTCAACGTAGAAGAAAAACATGAGGAACGGAACAAGAAGACGGTGAAAACCGGTTTATCCCCCTGCAAGAATAACCTAACAGACCACCGACCACTATACACTGATTCTATTCCGTATATATATACCTGTATTTATGTATAATACATTTGATATAGGACCTACTATGATAAATGATCTATCTATTCTATGATTGTAATCTTTATAAAAATTTCATTTGAAATTTACCATTGTTCTAGTAAAAATGATTTACATAAAAAAATTCTGTTTAAAAATAAAACAAACAATGGATGTAAATGTTTGATAAATTTCTACACGATTTATTAATAATAATAATAATAATAATAATAATAATAATAATAATAATGAAATAATTGAATAAAATAAAAGATAAATAATTATGATTTATGTATAGTAATGATAATAGAAAAAGTTTTACTTTCCGATAATTCCGTAGGGTCTTTCCGATAAGTCCGTAGGGTCTTTCCGNTCTTTCCGATAAGTCCGTAGGATCTTTCCGATAAGTCCGTAGGGTCTTACCGATAAGTCCGTAGGGTCTTTCCGATAATTAGAGAGGTTTTTTCCGAAAAGTAGTAAGGTTTTTTCCGAAAAGTAGTGAGTTATTTTCCGAAAAGTAGTGAGTTATTTTCCGAAAAGTAGTGAGTTATTTTTCGAAAAGTAGTGAGGTTTTTTCCGAAAAGTAGTGAGGTTTTTTCCGAATAGTTTTTAATAAGTTTTACTTTCCGATAAGTCCGTTGGGTCTTTCCGATAATTCCGTAGGGTCTTTCCGATAAGTCCGTAGGGTCTTAGCATAGCATAAAGAGGAGACCGAGAATAGGAAAAACTGTATAGCTATATTCCATGTCATTGCCTCGCAGTCTAAAACCTATGTTTGTCTCTTTTTCTCTCATTATTTAGTATGGCAAACGTTTCATAGCTTCGTTACATAGCTCCGTTTCCTTCCGTTTATTTACTTTTCAGATCACTCCCATTCTAAAAGAAGTTTTCACTTCAAAATAATCGATTTAAAATATGACATCTAAATTTACTATACAATGTAATCTACGTATAAATGATTCGATAATTCTTAGAATAATGATTTGAAATTTGTGATTAAAATTACATGTGTTGTTTCTTTTCTGTGGGCAGTTTATACTAACCACGCCAACAACACACTTCACCTGGGTGAAATAATCAATAAGAAACGTTACCATCGTGGTCAGGCGTGCATAAGCACCGCCCCAACGTGACCGTCGTCGTCGCTTGGCTACCTTAAGTGTGGACAACAAATCAAAAAAGATCAATTGGCAAATAACAACACAATTTTTCATTCAAATAAAACTCGAAAATTGATACAACAATTAAATCCACCAACAGATCGAACATAAAAATGCACAAGAAGAATATTTTTTCTTGATAAATATTATATTAATTAATTGAAACGACACAACAACAAAATACGCGAACACCGAATATACAAATGAATAATTGAATATCAATTTAATGAAATTTTACAATTAATAAATTAATTAATTAATTATTCAATTAAATGACCTAACAATTATTTGAATATCAAATTTAAAAAAACAATATTACGAAAAAAAGAAAAAACAATGTAAAAGTTAGATGCTATGTGTGTGTATGTGTGTGTGTATGTATGTATTAGGTGCAGTGACCTCAAACGAGCATCTCGTACACGCAAACTAACCCACACACACACACACTAATAACATATATATGTATATATGTAAAGAAGACAAAGTACATTCATATATGTAGTAGTAATCCAGTGGATAGTCCGGTGCCCATTGGTAAGAGTCATCGTCTGGACGGTTGACATACGAACACTTTCCGAGAGACTTAAACGCGTGAGAATTTGAAAAGAAGGGGAAACCAGAACAAAGGCATCTTGTACGTTCATTGTCTTATATAAAAAAGTGACACCAACGTTTCTTAACACACACACAGACACATACACACGAAAATCTCTTCACCCTTTTTCATCTTCCAACTTAACGATCATCTCAAAGTCTCGGATCAACCCCCTCACAACAAAAGAAACAAGGGTTTGTTCAAAAAAAAAAAAAAAATCAACTGTATCAGTGTTTGTGTAAAAATAAAACAGTTAACTAAAACACAGTTAGGTTTAATAAAAAAAAAAAAAAATGGAAAGGATTTTTCAAAGTAGTTTCTTAACGCCCTGCCCAGTGGGTGTATCGAACGATTACGCAAAAAGAAAAAAGAAAAAGAACAAAAAAAAATGGAATCAGGCAGACAAGTGTCAGGCTTGGATGAACAAGGACTGTTGTTACAATCAACTCGTTAACTTGATTTTCGCTTCCGGCAAATCTAACAATAAAGGTGGGGCCCACGGAAAGTTAAGAAAGATGATTGAACAAACCTAACTAAAGTTCATTCAAGAAGAACACAAGATGAAAATTTGGAAGAACAAAAAACAAACTAATTAACCAATCTAAGTAACATCTTACATAATTGTTATATGCTTAATAAATGCATCTCTTTGAAATAAAATTTATATGTTTTATTAAATAAATAAATAAATAAATAAATAAAAATAAATGTTAATAAAATATAGTATTGATTATTTTGATAATAGATTGATAAACAACCAAATTAATAACTAATCTAATAATAAGTAACATCTTACATAATTGTGATATGCTTAATAAATGCATCTCTTTGAAATAAAATTTATATGTTTTATTGAATAAATAAATAAATAAATAAATAAATAAATAAAAATAAATGTTAATAAAATATAATATTTAATATTTTGCAAAAAAAAATTGATAAACAACCAAATTAATAACTAATTTAATGATAAGTAGCATCTTACATAATTGTGAAATGCTAATCATCTCTTTAAAATATAAAATTTATGTTTTATTGAATAAATAAATAAATAAATAAATAAAAATATTAATAAAATAATATTTAATATTTGGAACAAAAAGATTGATAAAAAACACAATTAATAACTAATCTAATAATAAGTAACATCTTACATAATTGTGATATGCTTAAATACATATCTTTGAAATAACATTTATATGTTTTATTGAATAAATAAATAAATAAATAAATAAATAAAAATAAATGTTAATAAAATATATTATTTAATATTTTGCAAAAAAAAAATTGATAAACAACCAAATTAATAACTAATCTAATGATAAATAGCATCTTACATAATTGTGAAATGCTAATCATCTCTTTGAAATAAAATTTATGTTTTATTGAATAAATAAATAAATAAATAAAAATAAATGTTAATAAAATATAATATTTAATATTTTGCAAAAAAAAAAATTGATAAACAACCAAATTAATAACTAATCTAATGATAAATAGCATCTTACATAATTGTGAAATGCTAATTATCTCTTTGAAATATAAAATTTATATGTTTTATTGAATAACAAAAGATAAAAGTAAACATCGATAAAACATAAAATTTATTATTTTGAGAAAAAATATTTCTATAATAAAAATCACTCGATTAGTGCATTTATCATCTTGATTATTCCGAAGATTAAATCGCATTGAAACGTTGGAAAACTCGTTTGATGTTCCAACGCTTATCATCCTACACGTGAATTTAAACGGATAATTCCAACACCGTATATATTTACAGGATTTACAACATTATACTTGAGAAGAAGAAGAAGAAGAAGAAGAAGAAGGATAAGAGGAAGAGAAGAACGAACGAACTATCCGCCTACATTCGAAGAAAATCTCTTGAATTTCATTGGAAGATATATGTGCAAAATAGTAGAAGAAGAAGAAGAAGAAGTGTTCTTGAACTAAAACACCTTGACTTATTTTCTCAAGTAAATGTTCTCAATTGATCATCGATAAACACCATACTCTTTTACGTATATAAAAATAAACATTAATTATATATCTATAAATAAATAAATAAATAATAATAATAATAATAGACAAATTAATGGACTGTTAGTGAAACAATGATCAACTGTATACTACTAGACACGTGCAATTAAGTAATAATTATTAATAATAATTTATTATTAACATTGAGTATATAGAACGTGTGTACGAGGGTAAGAAGATTTTTTTGTCTATTGTTTACGATATTGTTTACGAGATATTTTTAAAAATATTGTCGGATGAAAACGTGTAAAGATAACGTACTCTGATAACGTTATTGTTCTAGAAAATATTATTATTTTAATAATATCATTTAATATATCGGTTTATCCAGAAAATTAGTGCCGATTTTTTATAACAGGTTTTTATATAAAATAATATAATATTTGTCATTTATTTAAAATAAAATTACCTATATAGAAAACATAGATTTTAATATATATATATATATATATTATATTAGATAATATAATATATAAAATATATTTGCAATTTATTCAAAAAATAATTACTGATATAGAAAACTACACACTACCTAATATTATATTGGTTTCCGTTTAAACCAATATTATAAATGTATATATCTTATTGAAATCATATTCTATAATGCAATAAAATAAAAAAAATACAAAGAAACAATATAAATACCTCCTGGAGGTAGCGCGTTGCGAGCTGGTCGCCGTGCTTGCTGGTGAACCGTTGGAAGAGCTGGAGCAGGTCGTGGTTCCGGATGATCCGGTTGCGTCGCTTCCGGTAGTGGTTGATGTAACACTGCTTTGTACAGAAGAAGTAGTGTCTCTTAGGGCGTTTGAAATACACCTGGTGGACCTGGTGGAAGGAGTAGCAACGCTGATGATAGGAGAAGTAGTAGGGTTGTTCGACGAGGTGGTAGAATTATTGGTTACAGCGCAGCCGTGTTGTCGTCCTGGTCGTCCACCACCACCACCACCACCACTAGCACTACCACTAGAACTACCACTACCACCACCACTACCACCACTAACGTTATTAGAATTCGTATTAGAATTATTCCCAACGTTGTTACGATTAACAGCTGGTGCACTAGATGGTCTCAGATGATGACCCGAAGTACCATTGGTTTGGGCAGCTAAAATTTCCGGTGCAACCAATGCGATATCTGGCAATGAATTTGGCGCCGAAACTATTGCCGATCTCCGATTGGTCGTTGGTTCCACGTTCCTCTGTTGTCTATGTTCTACTGTTCCTTCTGGTAATCTCAAATGACGTAGTCGTCTCATGGAGGCGCGAATCCATGAATTCGTAACGCGATTGCTATTACTGTTACTGTTACTGTTATTATTGTTGTTGTTGTTGTTGTTACTGTTGGTATTTGATTCGAGATCGTTGTTCGTATCGTTATAACGGGACTCCGTTTCGATCTCATCGTTAGTTCCATTAATATTAACGAATATATTGTTGTTATTATTGTTATTTTGATTATCAACGTTATCTGATCTTGAATGATTATCGATTAAGGATTTGGTTGTGGCCGTCGTTGACGACACGGTGACGACGGACATCGCTGCACTGCGACTCGTTTCCTCAAGCCGATCCTCGGTTTCGCGCCTGCGTTCTGTCGACTTCTCCGTAACCGAGGACGACGTGTTTCTCCCCACCAATTCGAATCTCTCATTGGCCGGTGAACCCGCGCCGTGCTTGGACGTACCCGATGCCCGCAGGTTCTCCACTTCCTCTAACCACGACCAATCGACTTCTGAACAATCCGAACAAGCCTCCTCCGATCTAATCGTTGATTCCTCATCCGGTCTTTTTCTGTAAACAACAAACATGTTATCTTTGACTTCATTTCATTGACCACAATTTCGTATGGCAAAAATCTTGTTAAAAAAAATATAAAACATTGACTGTCAAACATATTTAAAGATATTTATTATCCTTGCCCTAGGTGCCAAAGGTTTTATTTTAACCTTTTAGGTAATCTGTTGAATTTTATGTGAAACTGTTTCTCTGTACGATAGAGTTCAGAGTTCAGAGTTCATGTTTTCTACTTGAGTACATTGAAATAAAGTATTTAAATGATTAAATGATCATTTATCTTGAAAATATATTTGCATATACTTAAACTTTCTACCCCCATTTTTGGTTCTTAAGAGTTTATGGCATTATTATACTAAACGCACGTGCCACACTTCGAGGAACCCTCTGAGAGGTCTTTGCCATGAGGGATCCACGCTTGTCGCGCACGAGCCCGGTCTAACACAACTTCCGGTTACCGATTCCACAACGGGAGAAGGACGATAGAAAGTGTTCGCAATTCCAGTGGGTCTCCTAACTACGCATTTCCGGTTGGTTCCGTTCTATCATTTCTTTTTTTATTTCTTTTTTTTATTTTTTTTTTATTTCAAAGAATATTACTTTTGGTTTGTTATTTTTTTATTATTTTTTTTTTTTTGAATTCTATCAATTTATCTAGAGTTATGTTAAGTTTGAAAATAAAATATAATTGGTGGTAATGAACAAAATCAATTGTATATAATTTTTTATAAGAAAATTTATATTAATTTTATTATTAATTATTATTATTATTATTATTAATTAATAATATAATATTAATTAATATTATATTATTAATTTATTAAATATAAATATTATTATATAAATAAATTTATTTAATAATATATAAATTATATATTATTATATTATTATTAAATATATATATATATATATATATATATAATTTTATTTTATTTATTTTATACTATTATAATAATACAAATTAATTCTTACAAAAAATTGTACAATTAAGATTTTTTGTATATATATATATATATATATATATATATATATATAAAATAATAATTATCTTGTAATGCATAACAACGAATGAACGAAAAAAAGAAAAAAGAATAAAGATTGTCGTCATAGAAATGCAAATCTAAATAAATTGCAAGCTACGAGTAATTGCGTAATCAATGTATTAACAGCAGGTATATATTATTCGAACTATCGGAAAACGATAATAAATAATCTAACAAAGATGAAATTGTGCGTAAATTATTCTAATTAAGTTGAATAATAATAACTGTTGGACGATCTACATCTCAATTAATCAACAAAATGTGTCTCATATTTTTCAATTTTCAATGAAATTTTTTTGATTTAATTATTTAATCGTTTTTTGTTTTTTTTTTAACGAACAAATCAAATATATATATATATATTTTTTTTTACAGTAACGAGAGGATTTTACCGTGAACCGTGAACAAAATATTTGTTAAAAGCAGTGATTTAGATCGAACGAACTTTGTTATTAGAAATAAAAACCGTTAGAGAAATATACAAGATAGAGAGAGAGAGAGAGAGAGAGAAAGAGAAAGAGAGAAAGAGAGAAAGAGAGAACCTTTATTTCCTGTATTTTGTAAAACACGCATATGTATACATTTGCATGTATTATTAGTTAAGATATACCAACTGTGTGGTTAGACCAGCAAGAGTGAAACCTTTTTTTTTTTTCCTCTTTTATATTTTCCTTATCAACGAGAACTGCCTACCCTCTCTTTGATAAGTCGTTCTCGTTTCATGATTGCCAACAACACCAACAACAACACCAACAACAACTGTTCGAACTAAACTCATAAACATACACACATGTTCAAAGACTCTATCATTTTTTTTTCTTTTTTTTATTACATTCATGACGTTGCAAAAATAATCAACAATTATACGTTTACTTTATTTGCATTATTTTTACATTGCACAATAATTTATTTATTTATTTATTTTTACTTTAAACCCTCCCTCCTACATCCTGAAGAAAAAATTCCATTTTATTTGTCCATATAAAAAAATGTGTCGAAATATAATAAATTTCAAATAATAATAATAATAATAATACAATGATTTGTTAATATAAAAATAAAATGGATTAAGACGTAAGAGTAAAGAAAAATTCATGAAATTGTCTTAACTATACTAAGTGAAAGTGTCATAATAGATTATTGCAATAGATGGATACGAAGTGTTAGAATTTTTCATTTTCATGAGTCATGAATTGTAATAGAAAAATTTTGTTCATTCAAACAATTCATTCATTTTTGTTTGTTTGTTTTTTTTTGTTTTCATTCTATTTTTAATTTTCATTCAAATAATTTTTAGAGATCAGATGATCAACGATTGTTGTTACCGTACATACAGGCTCGTTTTGTGGAAGATACCAGAACGATTTGAAATAGTTTGCACGCTCGTTAAGTCTCGAGCCTTTGTAAAATACTTCCGGCATAAAATTATACTTTTCAGTCAACGTACTGTTCTAACTTCTTACATGTAAGTATTCTTACATTCTTACCAATTAGAAATATTTTATTTAATAGATGTATTAAAATATATATATATATATGTCTCTTAATATATATCTTAATATATCTATTATATATAAATATAATATATATAAATAA